AACCATTCTATGATTCTATGATTAGTTGCATCTTACCTCTGAACCGTTGCCTTAACTACTACGGGTACATTACAGGATTGTAAAAGAGAGAGGAGAACTAGGCTGTGAAGATTTTATGCCTGAAAATTTTATCCACATTATGTTCTGATGGGGCAATGTGTGTAGAACTATAGGAGTAAGTGTGTAAGGTCACTCGAGGAGTCTGATATAGTGAACACATTTTCACTGATGCTAAGGAGATGGAGCTTAGTGGTAAAAACAAAAGGGTAAGGAAGGCTCATAAAAGTAACTTTAGCTGATGATAATACAATAAAATTTGTCTAAAATTTATATTTATTTTAAATGAAACATTTATTGTAATGAAAATTAATCTTTTTTTTTTTTTAATGAAAGGTGGAAAAGCTATGGGAGGCTGGGAAGGAGGAATCCGTGTCCCAGGGATATTTAGATGGCCAGGAGTGTTACCTACAGGCACAGTTATCGATGAACCTACAAGCCTGATGGACATTTATCCTACAGTAGTTCATCTGGCTGGAGGGATGTTACCACAGGACAGGTACAAACACAAGTGTCTTTATTACTCCTCCTTTTTCTTTTTCCCTGCTGCTTGTTATCTAGACACATAAATGTTACCACAGATCTGTCACCTCTTCTCTACGTTTGAGATTCAGCGTCTACCTGAAATCTTTTACAAGCATCTTCCTCATTCAGAGTTGTCAGTTCCAGCAAGAGACATGCAGAGGGGATGCAGTGCTGTACAGCTTACCCCAGCCTGATGGTCTTCATTTTTTCTGCTAGGGTAATTGATGGCCGGAATCTGATGCCTTTACTGAGAGGAACAGTTGAGCACTCAGAGCACGAGTTCCTGTTTCATTACTGCGGCATTCACTTACATGCTGTGCGGTGGCACCAGAAGGACAGTGAGTACAGAACTTCTTTCCCAAGAATTAGGTTCAATCTACAGGAGGGCAGATATGCCTCACACATTTTTTTTCTCGGATTGCAGCTTTACAAGTAGTTCAAGGTGGAAGGTCATAAAGAACTTACTAGCATTGCCTGTATTGTACGGCACAAAGAGTTTGTTCGTGACATCAAAGCATACGGCATGCTGGGCAGGCTACAGGAGATCAGGATGGGTCTCACCCACCTCTCTATCTGAATACGAGGTCTTAGGAGTTCATGGCCTCCTTGTCTCATGGAGAAGTCCTCACCTCACTCCTTTGTCTGTCTTCTGCTACCTTAACAATGCAGTAAGCCATTGAAACCCCGAATCTTTTTTTATGTCTTCATAAAAACCAAAATCAGGTATAACTGATACTTGCTGAAAAAATTGCAAACATCAGAAATCATTTTATGTTATTGGTTTAATTCTGTGCCATTTAATTTTAAATTAATTTACGATACTATATCAACTAATAAGTGTAGAGCTGAAGTGCAACCAGAACATTCACTCTTTTCATGCCTTGTGACAACCACCAGTGTCATTGCAAGTCTTCTTTCTTTCCTGCCAGGTGGAGCCATCTGGAAGGCTCATTATGTGACCCCAGTCTTCCGTCCATCTGGGGCTGGGGGTTGTTATGACAGAGGATTTTGCCCATGTTTTGGGGAAGGCGTGACCCATCACGACCCTCCATTGCTGTTTGATCTCTCACAAGACCCTTCTGAAGCCAACCCTCTGTCGGCTGACACTGAGCCCCTCTTTGACACTGTAATAAGGCAGTTTGGAAGAGCCATAGAAGAGCATCGCAGGACACTGACTCCAGTCCCAGAGCAGCTCTCCGTGTACAACATCATCTGGAAGCCGTGCCTGCAAACGTGCTGCGGGACGTTCCCATTCTGTTGGTGTGATAAGGAAGGTGATAACAAACCTGCCGATCTATAAAGGAAAGAACCAAAGTTCCTTCCTCAAAAGCATTTTTAGACCAAGAGTGTTTTCTTTGGGGGTGTTGATTGCTGGGTTATTTGTTTGTGTCAATGGAGCCCTTATTTGAGAATTGCTCCAGTGAATGGCACTGTATTTGGTAAAGGTGGCTTTAGGCTGGACACTTTCAGGGAGGGACCAAGACAGAAAGATCTGAAGAACATGTTTTAACTTGTATCTGTGACAACTGAATGAATAGTTCAAATGCAGTGAACCAGGCCAAGATTAGAACTCTACAAGTAATGATATAACTTATGTTTTGTTGTTTATGAATGTATACTTAGAAGATTTTTGTTTTTTGTTCTGAATTTCTAAGTGATTCCCTTAATGTTGTTATCCTTACTGGCAATGCAAAGATGCCCCTAAAATACATTTTTGCAGCTACTGCTTCCAAAATAATTCAAAAATAATTTTGCCCACAGTTTCTCAGAGAATATCCTTTAAATATATCTTACTTCTTTCCTTGTAGCTAGTCCCTCCGGCAGTAGTGATGATGGCAGCTGGTTATCCTGGGGCTTCTGGATCAGGAAATTTGCCCAAAAGAGGCATAAAGCTTGAAACATGACAAGCTGGGTAATGGCTGTCAGCACTTTCTGAGCAGGATTGGACTCCTCTGATTGGAATCAGCCTCTTTTGATGGAGAACACAAAAGGGAAAATATTTTCCCTTTCCAAAGTTCCCATTGCATCCAGCTCCCTAAGCAGCACTGGCAAGGGCACAGTGGCACTGATGGCCAGAAATGCCTCCCTGATAACCAGCCCAGTCATTTGGGCACAGGATTGCACAAGTTACATTGCTGCCCATATCTCAGTCAGAACTGCTTCCTGCTAACAAGCAGTAGGTTAGGAAAAGACTCTTTGAAAGATGCCCAATACTATTTATGGAAACAAATGAACTCTAATTTACTATGAAAAAAAAAAAAGCAGAATTAAGATATTTATTGCTTTATAAGTTACATTCTAATTCCACCAAACAGCTAGAGTTACTTAAATCTACCTCTTTGCTGCTGTTCTTTTTTTCCCTCACTTCTTTCCCTCTAGTTTTTTGTATTAAAGTTGCCTTGCAGGTAATGTTTTCATTGTAGGATACAAGATATACAAGGCTCACATAGACAAGTTTACATTTTTATATCTGAATATGTAGGCATTTGAGAACATAATTTGCCCATTCGCTTTATTTCACCTTTTTTTTAAAAACTATTTTTATAACTATTGTGCTAGGACCCATTTCTCTTGTTCATCTCCTTTGTTAAATGTTTGATTTATTTTGGTTTTATTTACACTCTTTTTTCCCACAATTCAACCACCAGGAAGTCTGCAGGTAAACAAAGTTGACAGCTTAAAAGCAAAGGGGTTTTTTATGCTGTGACTTCATATATTTTGCAGACTGTTATAATTCACTCAGATGCTCCATCAGTGCTATTGATGAGAAAGCCACTCAGTCTTACTGTGAAAACTAACAGATGAAGTGAATCCATCTCTTCACATGTATTGAATTGTTGCTTCATTTTCTCTATTGTTAGGAGTGTGTGCTTTATTTCTAATTTGAATGTATTCTATTTCACAGGTTCTTTCTTGGCTAGATTTAAAGGTGTTTCCATATTCAATACGCAGTGTTTTCTTTACCTGAAATTACTGTAATCAGACTAGCATTTTTCAATTTTCTCAGTCATTTTCCAAGATCTCACTTCCATTCTCAAGCCAGTTTAGTATCTGGGATTTTACATGCTCTCAATTTTTCAACATCTTTAAAAATACATGGGCATCATACCTGTCATATGATTGAACCAGTTTTTCTTGCACAGAAATACTTCATAGCACTGTAGGATAACCATTTGGAGCTAGAGGGTACAGGAAGACATCTGAGCTAGAATTTGTCCTGGACGCTGGTTTTTGTCCATGAAAGCACAGTCATCAGGCCCTGCTGACATGCAAAGTGCCAAGAGATCAGCAAACATTCAGGGCTTGGTAGTGTGGGCATTACTCAGAAAACAATTATGGGCAATAATAAACGCTGCCCTGACAAAACCATGCTATCTTTCTTTTTCTTTTGGGTAGCCAGCAGATGATGGTATCCTGCTTTGTTATTCACCTGCAGCAGAAAAACAACCTTTTTTAAATTCATGTAATTTCCTTTTTCTTTGGGAATTCTCATCTTACATTCATCTACTTTCAGTGATGTTAGGAGCACGGCCACCTCCTCCAGCCACCCCGGCCCAGGACCCTCCTGCCTGGCTGCTGGAGCCCAGCCTGGTGCCTGGGGACCTGGGGTCTCTGCCCCGGCTGGGGGGTGACAGCTGCTGCTTTTCCCTTTGCAGGTTCAACCAGTGGTGAAGCTGACCCTGTATCCCAGTGTGATGGGTTTGCTCTTGGCTGGGG